TTTTTTATCCCAAGTGCAGCTATTATTTGTAATATTAAATTTATATTTTTTTAGATTTGTTTTTATAGAAGATATTTTTTTCTTATTGTTGTATATTATAAAATAATTTACACATCCTATCATTAACCATTTCCACTATTATTGCATCAATCTAAACACATTTTACTTAATCACCTCACTAACAATCCCTACGATTAACAATTTCTTCAGTCTAACTATCCCCTCATTAACATTTCATCTAACGCTTAGAGCCGGTGGGATTGAACTGCATGTTTTGTTGGCTCCATGATGCTTTTGGTGCACTCTTTGAGCTCTTAGACTAACACTCCGTGGTATTAACAACTTCTCCGGTGATTGGAATTAGCTTGCCTTGGTTTGAAGATTGGTTTTGAAAACTAATAGTGAGTGATTGCCTCCTTTTTGGCAGTAGCTATTCATTCAGCTCTAATCCTCTCTCCTTAACCCCCAAATGCACTGTTCTAGTCAATCGGCCGAACATTTGGGCAGACGTTTGGGAGGATAACCGGATACACTTTATCCCCTCACTATTTTTCCAATACCACCTTTAACCCAGCAAAGCTAATCCGATCACTGAGGAGTATTATTAATACCACTGGAGTGTTAGTCTAGGAGCTCAAAAAATGCACCAAACATGTCGTCATAGACCCAACAAGCATACTACCAATCCCACCCTCCAAGAGGCAAAACAAACGTGACCTTAGAGTTAGATTAGGTAGGTTGTTAGTGAGGAGATGATTAGTGAGGGGACTAAAGAAAATTGTGTTTGTTTGTGATATATTTAGTGTGTTTGTTTGTGATATATTTTAGTGAAGGGATTAACTATATGAAATATTGTAAATACTGTTTAGTGTTTTTGATATATTTTAATATTAAAAATTATATTTTACAAATATTTTTTATATATATATGATGTAATACCCATAAAAAAATACACACAAACACATAGCACACACCATGGGCAACATAGTCATTTTCCAAGCTAATCCTTGGGTGCCTCTATTAACACATCACATTTCATCTCAAGGCCAACCACTACTCAAGGCACACCTTTAATAATTTGATAAATAAGAAATTTGCTTAATACATACCACAATCTTCGGTCTTTACCCTTACTCACTCACACACCCCATCCACAATCTTCAATCTTCAATTTCCTTAAGAAAATTTATTACATATTTATCCTTCTAGTCAATTACATTTTTAACCTTCACACAAATTTCTCAATCCACACAACCCACTCCCACCAGCCTTAACCCTAACCCTAACCCTAACTGTCACGACCCAAACCTGCCCCTATAGGTTTAGCATTGTAACTACCAGTAATCATGGGATTATCAAAGGCCTCTGAGATAGATTAACATAATATTAGGGGCTAGCGGAAGCAAATAACAAATATACAATATCCATTGAGCTATGCGGATTTATATGAGACAAAAAATTTTAAAGTTTATATACATACATTTACACATCATCATATATATAGGCTAGACCAAAAAGGAACTTAGTCCTAAATACAGAATAAACAAAAACACTTGTTAAACCAAAACAAGAAAACAAAACTTAAACTTTAATCACAAAAGTCATAATCGCTTGACATATCTGAAACCTTCACGAAAGGCACAAAGGTTGGCTAACAAAAAAAACAGAATCCAGACAGAAGAAGCTCTAGGCCTAATCATGCGCTTGATCACCTACATACATAAATAATACAGTGAGCTAGGACCTGGTGAATAATAACAAAGTAAATGGTTTAACGAATGTTGTCTATAACAGATACAGAAAACTGAATTCAGTTCATATCAGAAATAGAATCAGAATCATATTCATATTATTGTTCATGTTCCAATCATATACAGAAATCAGAGTTCATGCTTAAGCGTACGTGGTACATCCATCAGCGCTCACAGAACAGATGGCGGTTATGAATAACAGTTCCATAAAGGAACCTCTGGATCCGAGTAATAGATAATAGATATGATGAGCTCCATGATGGAGTCTCCGGTACGGGTAACAGATTGTAGACATATTAAGTTCCATAATGGAACCTCCTATACTGGGTAACAGCTAACGGATATGCCAAGGATGTCATGAATACATATCAAGAATTGGACAATCATTCATTATACAGAACATAATATTTTAGAAAACAGATCTTATTTCATCATACAGAAAATAAATAAAGTTGAACATAATTTTACTAAATTATTACTCACAGACAGTTGCAGTAGTAGAACAGACGGATCAGACAAACAATAGCGCGTGACCTACACAAATACATAACATATACACATTAAAACACAATATTACTTCATTGATCAAACTTGACTTTCTTGTCTTCTGTCTAAATAATCCGAAGGTCTACTATGCTTATTCTTTCTTTAATCAAATTAATTGGGTTCTCATTTCACATACCCTTTCATTACTAAATCATTCTTTTCTGAATAAACTTATTTCTTACTTGGCTTCTTAATCAATTACTACTAAGTTAATGACTTATTCTTTAATCAACTAATTTATGTTGATTGTTAGCCTATTAATCTTCATTAAGTCATAAATCATGTCTAGAATGCTTTGGGAGGAGATGAGATGAAATTATAAACAAATTGTGATTTTTCAAAACATGCTGAAAATAGCGTGGCCGCTCGAGCCACCATTTGGTCGCTCGAGTGGACTGTACTGTCTGTAAAAGTACCGGAAGCTCAAAATGTTCGCTTAAGCCACCAATTGGTCGCTCGAGCGGTCTGTAAATTTTTTGAGTTCCAAAACTGAAGATTAGCTTCCAAATTTCATTTTAAAACTAGATTCATGCATTTTTCAACATGTAATGTCATTAATAAATATGAACACATAACTAATTTTCAAATCTTAATGCAAAAACCTCCTTAATTTGTCAAGATTAAAGCTATAACTTCATGAATATTATGATTCAAAACTTTTCTTCATTTTTCTTACAAAATATGAAATTAAAGTTATAAGGCTCTTAGAAAAATATCTACATATATAAAATTCAAATTAAGATCAAACTAATTCTTGATTGTCAAATTCAAATTATAATTTATTTCCTAATTTGTCCAATTTTAGATTTAATTCATTTTCTTCATATCAAACCCAATTTCAAACTCATAAATTCTAAAATATAAATTAAGCTTTTAAAACCCAATTTCATGTTCAAAACTCATGCAAAATTTCATCAAAACATGAAAATAATTATGAGTCATGATCAATCTTTACTAAATCTTTATTGCATGTAATTTATGGAGCTTAATTTAACAATAACTTTCAAAATTAAACCCAAAATAATTAATTTCTAATTTAACTTCATAAACTTGATCCTAGCTTCAATTCTTCATTTTCTTGTCAATTTCCTAGCAAACATTGAATATAGTTATAAATAAAACTAACTTACTTGTAATATACTTCAAAATTTGTTTAAATTAAATAAAACTCTAAATTACATTACATGCATGCGGTTATATAAAATCAAAAACCATATTTTCATGGACTCATGGTTTCCAAACTTTTCTTCAAAATCAAATGTATAATAAACTTGCATGGTTCAAATCCTTTCAAAACTCATGGTGCATGCAAATATACATCTCATATATATATATATATATATATATCAAGGTTCACAAACCCAATCTCAATTTGAAGAATTCCGACAATTATCTCCATATTTATTCTTTAATTCCTCCAATTTACATGCATGTAAAAATGAGACTCAAATTCATGCAAGATATTCAAAATCCAACCAAAAATAATTGATCTCTAAGTTTATTTTCATAACCATGAACCTAGCTTAATTTTCTTGTTCAAACCCATTTTCTTTCAAGAACCATGGAATTGATTCTATAACTCACTTAATTCATGATGTGTGGAGGATTTTTCTACAAAGTTAAGGCTTAGAATGCTCACCTCAAGTTTAAATTTCAGAATTAGAGATGATTTCCCTTAGCTCCTTCAAGTCTTCTTCAATTCCATATAAGTTTTGAGCTTTTCTCTCTCTCTCTCTCTCTCTCTCTCTCACAACTCTTCCAGCAGAAAGCAAAAGAAATGAACCTTACTTCTTGACTCATCAACATATACACACACACACACACATGCCTCTCTTGTTGACACCACAATGCACACGTGCACACTTAATCAGGCCTCCAACACAACCCTCACATGTACGCACATACACAGATTTGCTCTGCACACCCACACCCAAATACACCCTCAATTCTAGGTTGTTTCATAATTCAATTTAGGTTTAGAATTAATTTAATTAAGCAACACTTAATCTTAACAAATCTTGATTGACACGTAATTAAATTAATCATAACTAATCACAAATCTCACATACTTTAATCAGTCTAATTTTGACTTCAATTATAACCCAATTAATTATATTTAAATTTATCATTCTAAATCAGATTTTTAATCAAACTCCCAAAAGGCTCGAAATATTAAATTAAACTTATTTCCAACCTCAGTTTTGGTTTCTTAAATCATTAAGCCATTCAATTTCAGATTAAACTTTAAATTTTTTTGTCTCATATAAGTCTGCACAGTTCAATAGACGTTGTATATTTGTTATTTGCTTCCGCTAGCCCCTAATATTATGTTAATTTGTCTCAAAAGCCTTCGATAATCCCAGGATTATTGGTCAGTTACGATGCTAAACCTATAGGGGCGGGTTTGGGTCGTGACACTAACCGTTGCCGTCCACTCGCTACCCGTCATCGTCGCAGCCATTATCAGCTTTGGTATAACTTTCTCTGCCATTCCTAGCTCCGATGACCCACCCCCTGCTATCCCCATCTCCCCCATTCCAACTTTAATCCTAAACCCTAACATCTCCTCACTGTTGCCGCTACTAAGCCAGCGTTGCCCCTCCAAATCTCCTTCAGTCAGCGCCTCTTCTCTGCAAATCCTTGCTCCACTGTTATTCCCTCACCCATTGCAGCTCCTCTCTCCCTCTATCTTCATCCATAGCCCCTTCTTTTTCTTCTTTTTCTTCTTCTTCTTCTTCTCTTCAAACCCTGGATTTGGAAACCCAAATCTTTCTCTATCTTTTAACTGCAGATCAAATGATAAAGTGGAGGAACTGAGTTGCGCTGTGGAGGGGATCTAGATGATGGGTAGCGCCAAAGGGTGGCCAATAGGACTAGAGAAAGGTGACGGGGGTGAGGGAGATACGAGTTGCAATGTCAATAGTGAAGGAAAGGGCGGCGGCTACCATGGCAGGAGCGCAAATGCATTGGGAATGGAAACAGAAAAGGGGATAGTGTCAGTCGGAGGGTAACGGCAGCAGAAAGAGTTAGGATGACTGACAACAACGGTTGATGGTAGCAGCGGCTGTGGGATAGAGTTAGGGTTAGGGTTAGAGAAGATGAGGATATTTTGGAAATATTTGAGGATATTCATGGAAGGAACCTTTAGTAAATAGTTGAGGAACCTTTATCCTTTGTGGTCATGTAAGGAACCTTTAGTAAATAGTTGAGGATATTCATCCGTTTTAATTGTTTACAATGCATTTTATTGATTAAATAATACATTTGAGGATGTTAAAGGAATTTATGTTGCATTTTTTTATGTTGGTTAACAAAGAGAAATTTGTATATGTATGGATCATATTACAAGATGCGTCTTTTGTGTATAGTGTTTTGTAATTTTCTCTGTAATTTCTAGATCAATGCAAAACATACTTTGGATAATGTGTTTATAATACCAGTCAAATTCATCTAAAGAAATTTTCCAATATTAGAGAAAATTAATTTGTGCATTGGGTTTTTTTGAATTGGATGGTGTAATTACCTTGTGCATTGTTTTGTATAAATACAATGCACTACAAATTACATGATCAGATAGGTCCCCTCTTTGCATCATACTAGATAAATTTCTTTGTTACTAGAATTTTCTCTGTGAAATTCTTGCAACTTCAAACTAGAGAAATTTCTTTACAAATATAATTTTCTCTATGTACATTGTGTTGATAATCACTACTTAGCATGCATTATCAATAAGACATAAAGAGAACTAGTAATCATCAAAGAAACAAAAAAATAAAAAATATATTTAACCATTAGTAGCAATGAAATTTTGAAATTTACATTAGTCAAAAAAAATATATACATATATATCAACCATCATCAATTTTTCAATATATAAAAAATATTAAAGGGCTATTTCTAATTACATTGGTCATTTCCTAGTTGCCCCCTTGGACTTGGACTTCTTTTTTTCTTTTCTTTTTTTCCTTTTTGTGCGGTGTTTGTGGTGTTTTGCTACTGCTCTGTTTTGATCTCAGATCATAAGTGGCAGACTTAGAGACTTTCTGTTTCTTTTTTGGTGTTTTGTTGCTGCTGCGTTTTGCCATTTCTAAACAATGAAAATGGAAAAATGCCAACATTAAATTTCAAAGAAAATTACAGTTACAAGTACACAACTAGTCAGAGAAAGTTAAAGAAGCAACATAAATTAATGTGGTCAGATAAAATTACACATGCTAGAGAAAATTAAACATGCTAGATAAAATTACACACAAGAGAGTATTAAGTGGTTTTTAACAAAATAAATCAAAGCATGGCAGAGAAAATTAAACAAGCTAGAGAAAATTATACATGTTAGAGAAAATTACATGCATACAAGAAAGAGAGAGAGAGAGAGTAGTGTTTTTGAACCAAATAAATCAATCTAACCATAGAAAATTTTCATTCTCAGAGAAATTTTCATTCTCAGAGTAATTTTCAATAATTGAGAAAATTAAACATACAAGTACACAACTACCCAGAGAAAATCTACAAAGCAACAAAAATTAATGTGGTCAGAGAAAATTAAACATGCCTGAGAAAATTAAACCACGACCAAAGCCACAACTATCTGGTGTATTGAACCATTGATTATGGAAACATTTTGTAGACTAAGAACTGAAAGGTATGGTTCAATACAGAGCATGATGCATGCACCCCATTTAGGATCCTAGATGCATGAAGTAAGATAAGATAACCAGAGATGTAACCATGATGGTTAATGGCTTATTTTAAGTGGTTTCTAACTAAATAAATCAATCCAGCCACAAAAAATCCCAAAGAAATTTTCAATAGCTGAGAAAATTAAACATACAAGTATATAACTAGCCAGAGAAAATCAACAAAGCAACATAAATTAAACATATCAGAGAAAATTACACAACATGGAAATTTGAATGAATTGAACTTGAATCAAATTTGAAGGAAAGAGAGGTTGGTGTATATTAAAAAATGTAAGGGAGCAGAGAAATTTAAAAACAACAGAGAAATTTTCAATAGAAAATCAATTCTAAAGAGATAAAATCAATTCTATAGTGAATTCCAACAAATAAATAAATGTAGCCACAAAAAAATACAGAGAAATTTTCAATACCTGAAAAAATTACACATAGAAGTACAAAATAGACAAAGAAAATCAAAGTAGCCACAAAAACATAAATAAATGGGGAAATAAACATGCTAGAGAAAATTCAAAGAAAAAACATAAATCAAGCAAGCCATAGAAAATTTAAATGCCAGAGAAATTTACATACACAAACACACAACAAGTTTCAAAAATAAGTTCAAAACGTAGAGAAATTTTGGCCTTGTTTGGTTTGTGTTTCTCAAAAAATTTTGAGAAAAATTTTCTACAAATAAGTTTTCAAAAGTAATCAAAACCAAACAAATTTTTCCAATTTTTTTTTCCAAAAACTTGTTTGGTTTACAAGTTTTCCAAACAAATCTTTCTCTCATACACATCAAATCAATCACTTTTTCCAAAACTCTCTCTCAAAATAATTTTTCAAAACATCTTTTGAAAAAAAATCAACCAAACAAATTTTCATACTTTTATCTCAAAACATATTTCTCAAATACAAACCAAACAAGCCCTCATTTTTCAAATTTACCTGGCTCTTATTACGAAATTGAAACCCTAATTAATTGAAGGCTATTATAAAATCCAATTAACTGTGTTTTCCAGGAGAGAGAGAGAGAGAGAGAGAGAGAGAGAGAGAGAGAGAGAGAGGGAGAAAAAAAAACTAATTGATTTGTAGAAAAACTTACCAGAGTGAGGATGAAACCCTAATTGCGAACTGATATGCTCTGAAATAAAGATGCACTGTGATGAATATGAGTTGAGACGATGCAAGTGAACAGTGAAAATGTGTTTAGAAAAATTTGTGAGGAAGGAATCACAAAGATTTTCGCGGAAGATGATGAAATCCTAATGTCGCGTTCTCTCAATTGTAAGATATCAGTTGTGGAAAGCTAGCCATCGGAATCCAGTTCACTTTTCTTGGTTTGATTGTGAATGGTATTTTTGTCCAACAAAAATGAATGAAAAGCGTAACGTGTTTGGCTTCAAGGACATGAGTCATCATCTATTTTTTTAATGTCCTTTATCCGTCTAAATTATTATTACCTTATAAAAAATCTCAATTTTTTTAATTAACTTTAAATTTAATGACAGATTTAAAGGATTGGAGATGGCCAACAATCAAGGATGACAAAATCAATCGAGATAAGTTCCAAATCACGTAACCATTTTCAGTTTTGGAAAATTTTAGTTGCATTCAGTAGAACTTAGAATATATGATTTTGAGAATAAGTTGTATTTTAATTTTGTGTGAGCGTTGGAATTACTGATTTGAACGAAAAATTTGTTTGATTAATGAATTTTTGAACTAGATTTTCAATTGAGTTTGAGTTTTAATGTGACATATGAAAAGAAAAAATTTGTTTGGTTATGAGTTTTTGAAAGAGTTTTTCAAAACTTAATTTAAAAAACTTATACTCATAATACAACACACAACTCAAAATTCTATTGAAAATTCAACCTCAAAGACTCATAACCACATCAAAAAAATAATTTGTCTATTTTATCTAAAAAAAATAATTTCTATATTTAAAAATATCAAATATATTATATTTCCAATTAATTAGGGTGGCGATTGCACAATTGCCAAAAAAAAAAAAAAAAAGTACTGTTTTCAAGTTAACCGGACGGGACAACCGGGTACACCAAAAAAATTTTGAAAACTCACCTGGGAAGAACTTCTACCAAACAT